GGGAAGTAATAAAAAATTCTTCCCCGGGGAATGAATAGTGTACATCCTGGTCGAATCATGTGTGAATGTAATGTGTTGGTCGCAATGAAGTGTAAACGGTAACCGACCCTGGTCTGCAACTTTGGTAGGTGTCATGGACAAGCTCGCTTCTCGCCATACACCAGGGCTTATCGCAAAGAGCAATGGATATAATTTAATCAAATGATTGTTTTTACAAAGGATTTCTAGACAAGGTGGCTAGCAAATTTGAAAATTCAGTGCCTGTTCGTGCACCGCCAGTACCAACCCGCAACGACACAAAATACGGCTCGGATAGCATAGCTATTCGATGGGATGACAATGGCATTGATGAAGATGAGGCTCCAGTGCGATTTGTGCAGGTGCTGCTAATTTTCTTTGTGATTTGATTACTTTATCAACTTTGAAGTTTATCATGTGATATACTATGCGACTACTACCATGCGTAATTGCAGGTCGAGTACCAGAAGTCGAATAGCGATGAATGGAATGCACTGGAAAAAGTCATATCAGGGCAGGAAAAAGGCGTGGTGGTGCCAAGGTGAGAAATCCAATTCGGATGCTTTGGCTAGATTGTTGAGAGATAGTATTTGCCTCAGGGGTCCGCTTCGACTCTGTAAGGCGTCCTGCTTAACTCTTTTGCTCGACCAAGATTTTCTACAGGCTACAAATGCCTTTCATGCCACAAATGTGTCGGCTGGCTCTCCTACTATTTCTATGCCCTCGCACAGTTGTGTTTAGAACACTGCTGAGCAGAAACTGGTGCATGGCAGATATGAAGAATGAGCTGTAACTAATCACTCATGTTTTTAGGCTGCTACCAAACTCGAAATATCGCTTCCGAATTCGCTATCTTGGTGACACTTCGCAGTCGGTATGGTCAGCCGAGTCGGAGTGGATGCGCACGCTGCCTGCACCGCCGTCTGCAGCACCGACCTCCTTGGTAGCATCACCGTACGATTCGTCAACGTTGCTTCTCCAGTGGTTAACTCCTCCAGGGTGCGTCTCCGTTGAAGATATAAATTTTAAGAAATTTCATCATTTTGCAATTTTTATCTCACGCTAGAGAGTCTGCCGCGGTCGTGAGATATATGTTAAGGTCTTAGCTCTTTTTGTCGTTTCTGTAGGTTCTGCTATTAGGGAAGTGTGGAATGCTGACGCCATCGGATATCGCATCGCCTTCCGTGAGTATCCCATGTCGGCCGACAATGATACGTGGTCCACAGTGGAGATCTCGCCGAACAGTTCGTGGACTAAGCGGCCCCAGTTCTTGTTGCACAACCTGCCCAGGTGAGAACACCGTTTCGTTCAGCTTTTTGAAGGTGCGTTTTCCCTATAATTTTGCTTGATTTTCTTTGTTCTTCTCGAAATATCAGGACGTCAGAGTTCCGCTTCTTCAATTTTTTAATTGCTTTGTGATTTTGATGAATCTTCGCGCTTCACCATTGGTTCAAAGCACAATCCGTTTTGCTCAAATGTTGTTTTGGTCATGTAGGCCGATGTCAGACTTTGCGAATCGCGCGATTCGCTAGCGTCTGCGGTCGCGTCGCGGCCAGTGAATCACTCAATTGGCTGGTACCGCAACGCGACCGCGGACGCTAGCGAATCGCGCGATTCGCAAAGTCTGACATCGGCCTATCCGTTGATCAACTACGAAGGGTCAAACGGAGCTAGTCCAGGAACTCAAAATAATGCACACTACTTGTGTAGGTGGCAGTTGCGGCCTTCTCAATGGCCCACCGCTCCTGCACCCTCTCTTACCGTATCAAAGGAGCCAAACCAGCAAAGGTCGCAAATTTCCCGCCCATTGGATCAGCGTGGAAATGCGCTTCCCACATCTCTTAGCCGTTTCGTTCGCTTTTTCCAATTCTGATCGGCTGCTGCGGTCATTTTCGGACGCTATGACCCATAGCCATTAGATGGATTTGCACTGAAAATGGGACATGACCGTTTACTGTTTCTTTTTTCATGAATTCCAGTTTTTTTTTCGGCATACATGTTCGTTTTTCATTTTTTTTACTTATCCAATGCAGGTAACCCACTGCTTTGCTGTAGTTTTGTAAAGTTTTTTTTTATTATTCTTGAATTTCGGTCTCGTAGCTCTATGGTCGCGTTTTCAGTTTTCGTCATTACATTTTGCGAATGCGTGCGTTCAACTCGGAAGGGAGTGGCCCGTTTTCTTCACCGGTATTTGTCTATGTGGGCTATTCAATACCAAAAAGGTGAGCGTTATTCTAATCTAATGTTCGGTCAGAAACGTCTTAGGAGGGGCAGTTCCCTCATAGGCAAAATAATAAGTTGCTCTGTGATACTCGCATTACTTCATGATAAGTTTTTTACAAGTTATTTGTTTAGAAATGTGACCAATTTGATGGCAGAGCCTTTGTCTTCCACCTCGTTGTCGGTAAGATGGGATCCATGGCCGGAGGACGAGGACGCGGCAATAAGTGGATTCAAGGTAGGTGTCATGGAGAGAATCATAATCGTTTTCCTTTTTGATATAGTGATGATCCAGCTAATCTAAACAGTATGGACCTTCACAATAAATCGATGGCTTTAGCGATTGATGACTTTAATAAGTGGCTGCTATGCGTGGCGCTATGATTGTAGTCGCAATCCTGGGTATAGTTATAGTCCTGTGTCAGTATTTTGTGGGCATTTTCGAATTTCGTCAAATGGTAGTTCGCTGTGACACTTGTGCGATCTGAATGATCTTGCGAGGGCTACATGGTGAGGCGGTTCGCTTTTTCAAAGCTCTTTTGCATTCAAATTTGTAAGTAGTCAGATAGCTTAGCCTGGAATTGTATACTGCGCGAGTTGATCGTATTTTCACACAAAAGGCGGTAGTTTTGATCGCGGAAAGCGCTTTTGGGAAGGCGCATTCCGCGTTCAGAATTTTTGGTTGTTTCGTTCGTGAAAGAAAGTGGAGGAGGTGGGAAGGGGAATGAAGGGAAATAATCATCTGAAGTAAAACTTGAATTAAGGGCTTATTTACTGTGAGTTTGCCACAGCATGGCTGCGGGGCAATGGGGCGAGCGTGAGGAGAAAGCCCATGCAAGATGGCACGCGTGCAACTGGGTGCAAACGTTGTATAGCAAGGAGAGTAATTGAGACCACTGGCGCGTCAGCGCGCTTGTCACATCGCGCACATGGTGGCCTCGAAAACCGCAAAACCGTGATCTTTGTTAACAGCTTCATTGTTCCCACCGGTGGGATTGCTCCAGTGGGCTAGTCGCGGAATGAGCCTTTAAACCCTACCACAAATTTTTCTACCCTCCTCACAAGTACATTCAGAAGATCGCTCCATAGGGCTTGTATGAGAGTAATAATGAGCGAAGCAGTATCTGTTTATGAATTTAAAACACATGGTCTAGTCCTGGAAGTCTCACGCTACGTTCTAGCGGTAGTGTCCAACTGCAAAAGACTAAAGAAACAGCTGTTCAGGTTCGGTTCGTGCCAGTGACTTCGGTATTGTCTCCATCCAGTCACGACGAAGAGTTAATGGTGGTTGAGAACAACAGCTGTGTGATCACGGATCTGCGAAAGTACACTGAGTATCAGGTTCGTTCGTTGTCAAACGCGCAAATTTGACAGCTTTCTTTTTATCCCAATTTTCATCACTTTTCATCACGTTCAGATGAAATGCTCGATCCAAATGCGCAATTTTCAGATCTCCGTCACTCCGTACAACAGGGCTGGAGAAGGCGTTGTAGCCCAGATTAGGGTACGAACACTTGAAGACGTGCCAGGAGTTGTCAGCGCCCTGCGGTTTTCAGATGTCTTATTAGACTCGGTATGTTTGTTATGGAATATGAAGCTTTTAAAAATAGCTGCTCATAAATGCACGTTCAGTGGGTATCAGTTCGCCGAGGCTGGCGCTTAGGCCTACCCTCAACTCAATATACCCCTCTTATTTTTTTGTTTTGGAAACCAAGGGAATACAATTATTGGAGGACTGTGGAGCCAGCAGACATATGTATGACTGTCGTTAGGTCACGTCGCGGCCACTCGCTCATTGTGGAGCGTCGCGCACCGACGCGCTCATTTGTGGCGTGTCGCGCACACAACTTGTGCACTAATTGGTGCGAGCGATATTTCGATCCACCTTCTTCCGCTACTATTCACCACTAGCTCGAAGCTGTGTCTGTATCAGTTCTCTCGCTCAACAAACACCTCAAATCAACAGTTGCCTGACTTCTTAGCATGTGACGCGCGACGATTATACGCGTCGCCGCGATGTGACCTGGCGATGCACAACCTCGGGTCGCTACGAGACAACCTTGAGTTTCGTGATTCCAACGGGGAAGAATTTGTTCACACATCCTAAACAAATAAGCACTCTTTGCTGTTTACATTTGCTTTACAGAAGTTCTTATCTTTTTTCAGGTACGCGTTTCGTGGAAACCTCCAACGGAACCGAATGGCCAGATTACCGGTTATATCGTGAACTACAGAACTTTCAAAATGAAGGTATACACTGATCGTCAGAATTTTCCCCTCAAACTCCACCTAAATTTCTTGGAGCCATTTCAGGAGGAGTTCAAAAAGGAGGTTCAATCTCGTACTCAGCAAACGTTCTATCCAGCAACGAATCTCGAGGAAGGTGTCACGTACTTCTTTGCTGTTTGGGCGGAGACTTCAGCTGGAAGAGGAACGGAAGTGACTGCAAATGTAACCTTGGGACCAAATCCAAGTGAGTTTCGGCACTTTTTGCAAACTTTATGAAGATGTGCGTGTGATAAGATCATTTGGACGGGGATTGGCCCCGGTGGATTCAGACGGACCACCCGCTCCAACAAGACCAACGCTTACACCGGGTCCGTCATCAGTGACACTCGAATGGAGAGATGAGCAAAAGAATGGCATCATTGGTCATCTGATCCAAGCCAAACTCGTGTCAAAGGTTCATATCTTTTTCCCATTGAATGTTCTTTTTATATTGTGGTGTGTGTCAATAAGCTCGTTTATAGGATGTAGGGGCTGTTCAGTTGAAGAAACGGAACAAGCGATCGTTCGGACGTCCTACGCATATCCACGGGGTATGGGTGACGCTGAGGGTGGTCGAAGGAGCAGGCCAACACCACGAGGTTCGGGTGCTTTATAGAATTTGCTTTCTGTATTCGGGCTTTATTTCTTTGCGTCTGTACCAATGCAATATTTTTCTTACTGCTTTTGGCTATCAATTTCATCTCTTAGTTGAATTGTTTTCGCTATTTTGATTCATTTTTTTTTGCCGGGGAAAAATGATCCCGCATATTTTTTCTTTAAGGTTTTTCGAGCGTCAAAGGAAGCGATTTTGCGTTTTGATAAACTGTGCCTGAATAAACTCATTGGTTGTCACGTTCACTCAGTGGTTCAAACGTCGGATCCAATGTCGGTCCAAGTAACGGTTGGACCTGGTTCAGTTTTTCCTCTCTCTTCACATAGGCGACTTATATTTTACCAGTTTAGCTCCGCACGCAACCGCGCGCATCAAATGGTGGGCTTTAGTGAAACTGGACAACTTGCAGAATATTAGGTCACGTGACTGAGAAACTAACAGTAAGATGTTTGGAAGATGTGTCACATGATGTTTAAAGGTTGTCCAGTTTCGCTGAAGATTGTCGCGTAATGCGCGCAGTAGCATGCGGAATGAGAATGGTACTTATCATGACTTCGTAAACATTTAGCATTGATATCGAGCTCGGGCGATTTAGCGGTTTATAGAATTTCCCACAATTGAAGAATCGGTGTGTAAGTGAAATATAACCAATCAATCAGCATCAACCGAGCTATGATGGAAATTGGAAATATGATTTTATTCGCTATTAGTCCAGGTCCAGATAGTTGAGCAGCTCAACTTTCTTTGCTTCTTTGGATGAAAGGATAGGAATGGAACATATTCACTTGCTAGGGGCCTGGTTTAGTTTGACTGAGTGCACGCTCAATTTCGCTACTTTTATCAGTACAGTTGCCGCTCATACCACTTTCTGTCACCCACATTCAATCCTCGCCACCTTAATCGCTTGCCAGTGATAATTGCAACAAAGTTGGAGAGACCTGCATTTCAAACGCTCTTATCATTCCTTGTCATTGTTATCAGTTCACACCGTTCGCAATCGGTGTCAACCGTTATCGCTTGTTATCACTTCTGATCATCCGCTATCCGTGTTCCCGTCCCATCCCCTATACCACATGTGAGAGCCAAGGTTCCAATGTAACCGCGAGGGCCGCAACGAAACTGGTGGTATCCACACTTTGACGCCCCTTATCAGTTCTTATCAGTTGCTACCACATTCGTTCACTCAACTTCTTGGTCCCCGCCTCACCCCACATATCATACATGAGTGCAAACTCTCCACTGTCAACGCGAACGGTGCAACGAAATTGGTGACATCAACATTTCGACGTCCGTTATCAGCTCCTATCAGTAGTTATCACTTCCCGCCACCCGTCATCAGTGTTCACCTCCGGCCCCTATATATCCTAGAAGTTTGAGCGCTCTGGGTCCAAAGGGGGTGAAGTTATGAATTTCCGGTCAGACACACACACACACACACACACAACCGCTTAGCCGATTATATATAGTAGGATATATTACAGACACATGCTTCTGCTAGCTGTTTCAAAATCAAAATGCAAGTTTTGGAGAAAATTTGATCTGACGCCAATCATACTGTCACCTGCTCCTATCTCTTTCCTTTTCAACTAACGGTAGATTCTATTTGAAATTAGAGTATCGATATACTATTATATTTATTTCACTGTCTCTTTAATATTTTTCTTTCTACAGTACTTGAAAGAAATGCCCTTTTTGTTTGTTTCGCGAGCTTAGAACGTGCTCGTTTGTTGTGCGAGAAGATCAGCGTGAGTTGTTTCAGGTCAGCTATCGTGAACTGGAACCATCAAGTTTCTATGTGTTCCGCGTGTTCGCCCGTAATGAAATCGGAATTGGAAAGGCGAGCGTGGAAACTGAGCAGCTTTTTGTGCCAGGTAACTGGCCTTACCTTTTGTTTTTGTTCTCGAATGATTCTGATTTTGATCGAATGATTGCAATATATTGATTTGATCATTTGTGATCTTGGATAGGTTTTAATAGATGGCCCTAAGTAGTTAGTGCCCTGGTGGGTTCGTTGTTTTGAATCAACGTTTTGTGCACAGACTTCGGGGTTCAAATGCAGCAGCATGATGGCTTAGAGAGCGATGCGATTTTCATGGTTTCATTGAACGCCACTGGTAGGATGAGCTTCTGCGGTTACGACCACACCCTTAGCGCTGGATGTTCGTTCAAAAACCGCACCGCCCTGTGCCATGCCCACTGCCTTTAACCTTTTGACTACAAGTGGATGGTGCTTATGTGTACCAAGGGAGGCTTAGAAGGATTGAATTGTTGATGATTCTGTCTAAGACTAGAAATCTATTCGAGTTTTGGCAGTTTTGCGAGCCGATAGTCTTCCAAGAGGCGTGAATGGCTTTGCCGAAGGCTCCCTCAAAAGATGGGTGTCGATACGGGGCGTGACCAAAAGCAGCGTTTGTGTCGTCGAGCTCAACTTCTGTCCCTTCGAGTCGAACTTCTCTTTTTGCCCCATGAAACTGGCTGTTTTCCCTTTTTGCCCTATGAAACTGGCTGTATGTATGAGAGGGAATGTCACTGCGATCGTTATGCGTAATTCCACCAAGCACTTATAGTAGAGTATAGATCAACTTGAAAACACTGCCAATAGTCTGTTTCAGCTTTCATACCGGAGGATCCGTTCTATACAACGTGGTGGTTTATAGCGATGGTCGCGATGTCGACCTTTGTGGTCGTTGTACTCGTGGTGGCGTTCTTATGCATCACTGGTAAGTGTAGATCAAATAACTCTTCATACTAGAGTTGGTTGAAGTTATGCCTGGTGCTTTTGACTAGTCGATAGAACTTTTTTACTTTCTTGTTTTTCTACTCAAGCAACAACCATTTGTTCCCGTTTACCATTTTCGTTAACAGTGGCTCGTTTAAGGTTCTGTCGCGAAGTATAAACGTGAAAAGCGTGACTCGGTGGATAGTATCCATCTAGCGAATGGGAACTTTGTGGCGTTCCAGATGGAGGCCAGCCATCGCGATATCGGCCGAAGCAGGTGAGCACGCTAGTTTCCCTCTGTTTGCATTTCCTGCAGACTGTTAATTTTTTTCAGGAATGATTTACCGACCCGTCCTGGCACAAAGCAGTCCTGGCTGTCAGATCGAGACCCGCCGGCGTACGGTAGTGTCCTCGGGGATCAGAGCCGCCTACGTGGCGCGGAGAGCATCGATGGAGGAGGAAGTGTGGTGAACATGTACGGGTTGGAGACCGATGTGATACCATCATTACCGAATCAGGAGGCTATGCAACGGTTTGAATTACATCTACATGTTTAATCGATAGATAGTGCATTAGATTGAGTAATACTTTTACCCGTCTAACAGGCGCAGTGATAGCTTTGCTTTTAGATTGACAGCACTGGTTGGTCGGGATGTTCGAGGAAGTGCTTATATAACCCAACGAGAAGCCGTAGATATGCTTAGTAGATCGAAGTACGGTAGTCGTGGGGATTACGGTGTTCAATCTGCAAGGTTAGACCGATAGAATTTGAATAATAATTCATTTTTCATGGATATTGCGCTTTTTATTGTCATTAGAACGTTAGACTATTCTGAAGGACTTACTCTTCTACGTGGGGCGCAGATTTGGCGCTAAAGTCGATGTCAGAAACGCCGATTTTGATCTATCCTTTGCACTTGTTCTGGTTCTGGTTTCCGAGAATTGGTGCATGACGCCTCATAAAAACACACCGCTGGCTGGGCGAGTGACCTTGTCAAATCCCCGCATCTTAAGCTCATAATTTAACTTACTAAATTCGGTAAAACTCCAGTTCGGGAGGGTGGGGGGCACTCCACTGCTTCTCCAATACTCAAGATAAGTATGAAAGCGCTCATGACACGTAATCGACTCGTTTTAACCCTTAGACTACGACTTTTTTAGAAACAAGTTATCGATGTGTTTTGTGTAGTAACAGTCGCTCCTAGCAACAACTAATCATCTGTAGAAATTTGGCTGACGCGCGCTGGGTTTGAGCTGGGATTCGATCCAGAGACCATATGCGCGGCAGTGGCCCCTCCTGTCACCACACCATCTCCGCTCGAATGAGCATTTTCGAACAGTTCAAAGACCATTCAACAAATACACATTTATCACATCTCATTCGTGGAAGAAGGCAATGTCCGGTTGGGAACGCACTTGAAAAGAAGTGCAAGCCGCACTTTGTAGTGCTGCTCCCCTGCCTACAGGCTGCGCCCACCGGCTGCTTCTCCTCTAACGAATTTTCGCTGGTTTTTATGCTCGAAAGCTGCGTCATCATAGGAGTGTTCTACTACCACTTCCGCCTTTCCGACGCAGTCGTAAAAGGCTGCCGTCCTTTAGCTGGCTTGCGGCCGATAAAAACCTCCATCCGTCATCGGTTTGCTTACGTTTTACCTGTTTCACATAATTGAGGGAAATATTAGACCCACTAACCCCAATACAAAGAGTGTGAGACTCGAAAACTACCTTTTCGGGAGCTGTGCACACTGCCCAGTGACCTGTGGAACGACTTGCTTATCAACTTATCCAGCGTAACTCGCTTAGACTTCTGATACTTCGCTGACAGAGTAAGAATTACCAAGTTTCTAGTTGTGCACAATTCCGCCATAAAGCGGGCCCTCCGATCTCAATAAGTGCCAAAACTGTGGTAGTGTCTTTGACTACGAAGTGGGACACATGTGTCCCACCAGTAGTCAAAGATTAACTTACGCAGGATGACTCGCTTTAGCTTCTGACGACTAATTGTCATAGTAGGAATTAGAAAGCTTCTATATGTGCACAGTTCAGCCATCAAATGAGCGCTCCTGCCTCAATATTCCCTGAAACTGTGGTAGTGTCTTTGACTACGAAGTGGGACACATGTGTCCCACCAGTAGTCAAACATTTACTTACGCAGGATGACTCGCTTTAGCTTTTGACGATTAAGTGTCATAGTAAGAATTAGAAGCCTCTTATATGTGCACAATTTAGCCATCAAATGGGCGCTCCTGCCTCAATATTTCCTGAAACTGTGGTAGTGTCTTGACTGCCAAGAAGTGGGACACATAGTGTCCACCTAGATAGTCAAACATTTAACTTACGCAGGATGACTCGCTTTAGCTTTTGACGATTAAGTGTCATAGTAAGAATTAGAAAGCCTCTATATGTGCACAATTTAGCCATCAAAATTGCGCGCTCCTGCCTCAATATTTCCTGAAACTGTGGTAGTGTCTTTGACTACAAAGTGGGACACATGTGTCCCACAGTAGTCAAACATTAACTTACGCAGGATGACTCGCTTTAGCTTCTGACGACTAAGTGTCATAGTAAGAAATTAGAAAGCTTCTATATGTGCACAATTCAGCCATCAAATGGCGCTCCTGCCTCAATATTTCCTGAAACTGTGGTAGTGTCTTTGACTACAAGTGGGACACATGTGTCCCACCAGTAGTCAAAGGGTTAAAAAGTACTTCGGATAAGCAATATCGGCCGCTGTAATGTGATAAGAAACCCGAGATCTCCCACATTTCCCGCCTGACCATGGCTCCTCGGAAAGGTCCTGAGCAGATGACATGGACCACCTCTTGTCAAGGTCTAAGGAGTGGATGACTATGCAGAAAAGTAATAGGATGTGGGCTGGGATGTAAGGCGAATGTAGAACATTCAACCAGTATTTTTTTTTTTTTTGTGTTTTTTGTTTTTTTTTTTTTGTTTTTTTTTTCTTATCGAAGGTACGCTTAAATGTGGATGCTTTTAGTTTATCATTAGTATTGGAACTATAGGGTCGCCCAGTGCTCTGTAGTACTACGGATATAGCAGTGGAGTGGCCGCCCTGAACTGGAGTTTCACCACTAAATTCTATAGTATGGGTTGCTGATCTGGCCCCGTCATACATTGAAAGGGATTTTTCACCAATGGAAAACAGAGGGTCAGTCACATGCTAAGTCTTCACGCACTCTTAATTCGGCAAAGGATGATGAATATGAAAAAGCATTTGGCGTTAATGGATCCCTTCATAACATGATATTTTGCGTGTTCTACTTACTCTCAAAGTGTAATGATATTTGAACAAGATTTGGCAGTGGCAGTTTTGGCAAAAAAAGGGGGAGTGATGGACTCGGTGTTAAAGTTAGTGTTTTATTCTCCCGCGGACAAAAACCCTAAGACGGGTTTCAGAATAAGCGGCAATCGCGAAGAATCGCGCGATTTGTCGACGATTCGAGGAGAGGCGATGCGTCAGCGGTTCCAGCAACGCTGTCGCTGGCGCATCGCTTGTAACCCTCGATTCGCTATTGGTTGCACGCAAAGCCTGACACCTGCCTGACCCTGTGCCACTTGTGCCACTTGTTCGACACCGAAAGGATGAGGGCTTTGTTGGCATGGGCAGGGTGTTAATTCTGGATCAAGCCGTGCGATGGTCGTGGTAAGCAGCGCCTTCTCTCCTACACCGCGACAACGCCGTGCACTCATAACGGCCTTATGAGCAGCACAAGTCGTGTGAGTGTTTTGCACCACGTTAGCCGATGTCTACCAATCGGATTCCTACTAATCCATTTTTGATACGGTCCTCTTCACATATTTTTACGCGCTTCTGGAGCGTAAGTGAACTTTCGTGATGATCTCAAAAGCGATCCATTAGCGATCAATGTCAGGTTCGTTCCCGTAGGCGCCTCTTGAAAAAGATTTATTTCGATGTAAACTAGTCGCGCATCCAGCTTTCATATTAGCGTTTTACCTCGAGGAGATTTACGACTTCATCCAAAAAGGGTTTTTTGGCAATATTGACACAGTGTCCTTTCATAAGATCGATGGCTGATAATCAATCAATCCTGACTGTTGTCAGCTGTGAAGCGAATAATGGCGTGACTGTGACCTTTTTTGCAAAAAGAGTCTCACATCTCAGTCGAGCGGCGTGCGATCATCACGATATTGTTTGTGGAACATTACTTTTCACTTCTTGATGTTGTTTGATTTACCGAACAGCAACCAGGCATGATTCAACACATTCGCAACACCAGAGCGGGTTTTCGCTATACATATATCTTCCTTTCTACAGCTCCTATTTGTCACTAGCTTCTCTTTCGTAGGCGGAACTGGCTGGCGAGTGCATATGTGGAATTGCTCTCGGGATTGGGATTGTTTTCGGGAATGTAACCATCTGTCTGTCTATACTAAATTTTGATCTGTCTGTCTGTCTGTCTGTCTGTCTGTCTGTCTGTCTGTCTGTCTGTCTGTCTGTCTGTCTGTCTGTCTGTCTGTCTGTCTGTCTGTCTGTCTGTCTGTCTGTCTGTCTGTCTGTCTGTCTGTCTGTCTGTCTGTCTGTCTGTCTGTCTGTCTATCTGTGATTGCTTTTAGGCTGTGTCACAAAATGTGGCGCTTGCGTCGAAGCTCAACCAGACCGTTTCAAATTTGTTGGAGATAGTCACGGCATCTGGGAGCGCATTTGCGATGAGAGCGGCGTGAGCCAATGACTGAAAATTTGCCGTGCGAAAGACGAAAACTTTCCTTTTTAGGATTGCAGAACAGACAAAGGTTCGCCTGAAAAAAGTAAGGTGTGTTCAGCGGGCGAGATCAAATTCGGGAAAGCCCATGTCATGTGGGCGGGCTGCTGCGAAGTTCGTAAGTCAGATCAAGGGCCTGTGCTATGGCAGCAGAAGAATTCAAGTAGCCGTTTTTCAGGAGTCATTACGCACGTGGTGATGTCTCAACCCGAGTCGGCTACAGCCACACAGAGAATCCTGTGCAGCACGAAGAGTTCGCAGACGATTCTTTCGATGACGAAGATGACGGCGGCAGTGGAAGCGCCAAAGAAGAGACGGACGTTCCAACAGAGAATATCGCCAGTCACTACGGAAGCACGGATCATATCGGTGGTTTACCTTACAGATGCCTTGATTTTATTAAAAAGTACTGTAATGGTACGCGTTCCAGACCAATGGCCCTTTTGGGATTCCAGATGCTCATTTTTCGGTGTTACTTGGTTTTCGGGAGAATCGATGGTCTTGAACTCGTGTCTGCTTTCTACCATTTATTTGTTTGGTAGATCCTTTTGCTTTTGGGACATTTCTTCGATTGGCTCGGCTCATAGCTTTAGGTCTTGCCCGTAGGGCCGCCTTTTTCGAGTAGTTTCCCTGAAGGGGAGCTATTTCTGCGGCAATCACCGATGCGTTCATACTTTTAGCGATACGTGGCGACGAGTGAAAGCGAACGATGCGATCTGTAGCACGGGGCCTCCGTTGACGTCGTCGTCGAGAGCGGTCTCAACGGAAAGCGGCAGCGAGTCGTCGTCGGTGTGGCAGTCGACGGCGCAACCGGCAGTGCCCAACCTCTCAAGCGGGTTTTCTTCTTTCGTGTAATTTTACACACAGATTTTTTCCAACCTCGTACCTCTATGTAACATACGGTCGTGACAGAACTTATCACAGTTCTCGGTGAGACGAGCATTTCGCGTTGACTTGACTTGGCACTTGACACACTTCTCAGTCTGTAATATTTCGTTTCGTCTTCTTCTTGTCGTCTAACGTAGAAGTCGTTTAGGGTTTAGGCGTTTCTAAATCATTTTTCTCAGCTCATAATATATTTTGTATATGTTGCTTGCACATTCTGAGAGAATAGCGATATAATTGTTGTAATATTTGCATATCACTCACGTCACACGTTTGAAGTGCCTTCTGAGGTTTCGCCCTTTCATGCAAAGTCATTTGTCGTTGAAGATGATCTCAGCCTAGCTTTCGATTATTGTGTATTTTATATTTGCATAGCGACATAAATTTGCATTTTCTCTGAAAATTAGGGTTCAGCTAGCTAAAAATGCAAGCATTGTTAGGCCTTTACGGCAAGGTTGCTCAAGAGATTAAAAACGTCTTTAGTTGTTTGCTTGTTGAAGGCATTGATCACGATAGCTTGGTGGCGGTGCGGTTTTGATGACGTCGTTCATCGTCATTGGTGGACTAGAACCCTCAACGGGCCGCGGGGTGGGATTTGCCGCCCTTCCACCAATGACGCTCATTGATGTCATCAAAACCGCAACGCCCTCAAATCATCGTGGCCACTGCCTTTAAGGGACACATGCATAGAACCAAGAAAGATGGCTCCCCGAGCGGCCTAAGGAGTGCCAAAAGGGAGTGAAAGACTGGTCATGTAGTGGCTCTTTTGGCATTTGATTCGGCGCTTTCAACTCGTAGCCAAATTGCGCTAGCATTATGATCACCTCCCTTTATCATAAACATACACAAAATTTTATCATAAATAAAC